GGCGGGGCGGGGCGGGGCGGGGCAGTGTCTCCCGGGTGGCAGAGCCGGAGCAGCCCCGCCGCCTCCGTCGCCGGCCGAGGGCGGCCGCGGGAGGGGGGGGGTGTTTTACCTCGGCCCGGCCCAGCGCCTCCCACCAGCGAACGCAGCGGTCCCGGGCCCCCCGGATCCCCCCTGTCCCAGGCAGGGTGGGCAGCACTGCCATCATCCCGGCGCCCAGCCCCACGGGTGAGACCCCCACGGGACTGGGCAGAGGGGAGCCGCCAGCCCTGCGCTGGGGCGGGACGAGCCCGACTCATCCCCTCTCTTCATCCGCCTTCAGGCTTCATTTGCACGTTTCACTTTTCCTGGTTCTGACTTTTTTTTGGCCTCCGATCCCAAGGTGACCCCTCTAGGCCAGCAGTGACGGGAGCAGCAATCGGAGGGCTGCGGCCGGGTTGGCTTGGGGCAGGACTGCCCCCGGGTGAGGTCAGGTCCTCTGCGGGCAGGCCCTGTCCCCATCCCTGTCCCCGAGGATGTCCCCGGCACACCTGGGCTCTGTACGCCCCTGCGGCAGGGCCTGGTGCCCGGCCAGCCGTGCCAGCAGCGCCCACGGCACGGTGCCTTAAAATGAGGGGAACCCAATGGGGGGGTGCAGTGAGGGGGTCCGGTGTCAGAATGGACGCTGCGAGGAGCCCACCCCAAGCCGTGGGGTCTCTTCCTGCTCCCGCCAGCATCCAGGGGGTGCCTGGGATCCAGGGGATGCTTTCCAGCAACAGTGACGGGCACAGGGAGACACTTCCGGTGTCACGCTGAGAGCCCCTGAGGGGACAAGGCAAAATTTAGCATTTTTACCCCCCTCTTTAGGAAAAAAAATAAAGGGGGGTTGCCTGTAGCAGACCTGGTTTTGCCATTCCTCTGTGTGCCCTTCTCCGGGGCACAGCCTGGTCCCTCCGACAGCCTCCTCCCACCCTCTGCCGCCCCAGCCCTGCCCAAGACATCTCCCTTTCGCCAGCACAAGCCCTCGGACCTGAAGCTTGCCAAAACTAAAAGAAGGAAAGGAAAAAAAAACAACAAAAAAGGTGCATTTCTGGTTGGGACAGGAAATTTTTTAGCATCCAAAGCCCCGGGAACCCAGGACCGCTGCTTGTCCTGCTCCAGGAATTTGCTTCCCTGCCCGGGTGTTTCTGTGGTTGCAGGACAGGAGAAATGCCACCGGCGTTTCACAGGGTGCAGTTCCGCGGCGACAGTCGGATGGGGAGGAGTGTGGAGAGCATGGCCAGGCTTCTGCGCTGCCACCCAGGCTCCTGGGTGCGGGCTGGTGTGCCTGGAACGCTGCTGGTGCTGAGGACGGTGTCACACCTGTAGGGCTGAGCAGGGACCCCGGCTGGCTCCGGCAAGAGTGTGACCGTGCTCTCAGCAACTGGTTTATTTGGCATTTTTAGGCACGGAAAATGCCCAGGAATACTCTGGTCAGCTGCGAGCTGGAGATGGGCTTCTGGGGTCTGCTGCCCAATGAACCCCGTTTCCTGGCCACGCCGTGCTGCGGCAAAGAGCCACGACAGTTGTTTCTGGGGTTTGGGGGAGGAGACAGAAGGTGGCATGGCAGAGCTGGTGAACCGCACGGCCAGAGGTATTGGGTCACCTCCTCTCCTTGTGCCACCACCGAAACAGATTTGTGCCTACCTTGTACGGCGTGTCTTCCGAAGGCTGTGGCCCGGCGGTGGCATGCTGGTGTGGAGATGGGGAGCACGTTGCTGCTAGCCAGGTTTGGAGTGACATCATCCCATGGCTGGAAACCAAAGCCAGAAAAAACCCCACATGTGGCTTCAGCAGGGGCTGTGGGAGCAGATGTCGGGGGGGAGATTGCACACGTGGCGTCAGAGCGTGCCACAGCCATGGGGACAATGGATGGCAAAATGCAGCAATGCAGGAGGGCTGATGGCATTGCCATGGGGTGCCTTGTGTAAAGAGAAAAAGCCCATAGGAGCCAGCATTCACAGAATCACAGGACAGTAGGGGTCGAAAGGGACCTCTGGAGATCACCCAGCCCAACCCCCTGCCAGAGCAGGGCCACCCAGAGCAGGTTGGACAGGAACGTGTCCAGGTGGGTTTGGGACATTTCCAGAGAAGGAGACCCCACACCCTCTCTGGGCAGCCTCTTCCAGGGCTCTGCCACCCTCACAGGAAAGAAGTTCCTCCTCATTTTCAGAGGGAATTTCCCATGTTCAAGTTTGTGCCCATTGCCCCTTGTTCTGTCACCAGGCACCACTGAGAAGAGTCTGGCCCCATCCTCTTGCCACCTCTGTAGATATTGCTCAGCATTGAGGAGATCCCCTCTCAGGCTAAACAGCCTCAGGTCTCTCAGCCTTTCATCACAAGAGAGATGCTCCAGTCCCTTCATCATCTTCATAGCCCTTCGCTGGACTCTCCAGTATTTCCCTGTCTTTCTTGAATGGAGGAGCCCCAAATTGGACTACCCTTAGATGATACCCTTAGCCTCACCACACCGTGTTGAGCCTGAGTTTGATACTTTCCTATCAACCCTTGTCCCATGTCGCTTCCATGACACTCCTCTCCAGCACTTGAGTGCTTTTCATTCCTGCACAGACTTCTATTTGTTGATGATGAAATGGAAACCGCAGCCCCAGAAAACACATTGCACCCAAACACCCTGCAGATCAGAGACTGCACCTCATCGGGACCATCAAATGTGTGCTGGGGCCCAGAACACAGACAGAGAGCTGGGGAAAATTCCTTACCCACATCCCAGCATCCATGAGGTCCCCTCTCAGTCCGCTCTTCTCCAGCTGAGCAGCCCCAAGTCCCTCAGCCTTTCCTCAGCATTTCCTTCATCACCTTTGTGGCCTCTGCTGGGCTCTCTCCAGCAGTTCCTTGTCTCTTTTGAAGAGCAGCATCTCTCCCCTCTCTCCCCCTGGCTGCCCAGGGGCATCTCCCCTTTCCCTCCCGCCTCAACCCACAGCACAGCAGAGATGTGGGGCCTGGAGAAGGCGCTGGAAAGCGCCTGGTCCCCGGAGGGCTGTCACTACAGAAGCACCACGTGTGACTTGTCATTAATCATTGTGTTCTGCAGTGATAATGGCCCATCTGAGCCAGAGGAGATAATAGCAATAAACATACGGCCCTAATTCCAATTGTGGCTGCTGAAAACTGGTTGTTGGTTCTTGCCGAGGGATAGAAATGTAACTGAGCCTTGATTGAAAAATTCAGGGGGAGCTGCCTTATCTTACTCCTTTGCCAGATTAAAAAAAGCCTTATACATAAAAATAGACAAAATGAATGAAGAATTTACAAACATCTATATTTTGTGTTAGGAAATGTGATAAAATTAGGAAAGCAGCTGAAGACACTGATTTATACAACTCTGACTATTTCAGGCAATGAGAGTTTTACATATCACAATTTAACAAGATAAAAGGTCTCCCACGAAATACATAGATGACAGACATCTCATCTGAATTTGACATAACACAGCATCAAGTACACATGTAATGTGATGGACAGTGCCAGGTCATTCCCCAGTTAGGTAACATACAACCTCTTGAATAAGGCAATTCAAATATAACTCTTAATTCAAATCACAACATACCCAGGCAGCATGCAGGGAAAAGTCATTTATTTTGTACATTGGAATGACACGACTTGCAATATGTTTCCATTTTATGTAGTTAGAGCAACAGGATATAAACCATTCAAATTATATATATATATATATATATATATATATCTCAAGTCAACAGTTGTCTTTACTGGAATAAAGATTATCTGTTTTTGGTAAAAATAAAACTATTTGAATTCACTAATTAACAAAATGCACAGTGATCAGAAACCCAATTCTTCTCACCATTGTCTTCCCTGGCTCGGTCCCCTTCCCCTGTGAGGCGGCAGCTGCCTGACCCTGGGCTTGGTGGGACAGGAACCCACCCTTCCTGTGGCTGCAAACCCCTTCGCTTCCTTATTAGCAATTAATTCCTCTGGATCTTTACGACCAAGAAATTTAAAAAACTATGAAGCAGAGGAAAAAAAAACAAAACCAACAACAAAAAAACCCAAAAAAACCTGAGCCAAAAATTCTCTGATTCGGTGGAGCCTAATTGCCGTGGCTGAGGATGTGTGTTCGCTGCAACAGACTTGGGGATCACAGGAGATAATGAAGGCTTTTCCTAGAACTGAGAAGTTCTTTCAAGAGTAAGAAATGAAGAAGGGAAATAAGATTTTTTTTCCCCCCCTATTAAACAAATAAATAAATTTGTAAATACTGAACAGACTAGTCTGGGCAGCTTCTCCCTGGCAAAGGGCTGTATGTGCCCCTGCAGGGACTGATGCTCTCACTAAGGTATCACGTCCCAGGGTGGCTGGGCCCCCTGTCCCCCTGCGGGGACGAAGGGGATGGATGTGGGTGGCAGTGGCATTACTTCTGCGGGCAGTGGGTGCGTGGCAGGAACGGCTCTGGAGGGGCCAGACCTCGTCAGGCTGAAGCCCTGCAGACCCCCGAGCCGGGGCTACCCGCCTGCCCCAGCGCCCGGTAAGGGCTTATTAAGGTATCGGGCTTGTGAATAATGAAGAGGCAGAAGTTGCCCGCCGGGGGGTCCAAAATGCCTGTAGCCTGTAAATGGGTGGTTGAGAAATGTCTCTCCTTTGGGTGAGGAGCACAGCTGCCACTGCAGCCAGACCTTCCCACTAGAGAACCCTCCCGGGCTTCGGGACCCGTCCATCCGCAAGAGGAACTACAGGAGAGCCCGGGTTGTCAGAGTGACTGCTACTGCATCCTGTCTATGACCATTATAAAGTTGTCTCGTGCCTCCCTGCTGCCCTATTTACTGCTCCGGTAAAAAAATCATTGGCATGTTTCTTTGCCCTTAAAGATACAAAAAAAGCAAATATTCAAAAGATAGTGGGGAGAAAGGTGCTTTCACAATGACATTCAGAGCAAAAAGAGAGAAACGACATTTTACAGATCATTAGAGAGCTATCTTTGGCAGAATATTTCAAATAAATTATTTTTACAAATATTTTCTGCAGTCGTATATTTATTTTTAATAGTTCACTCTCAGCTATAGGGTTACTACTTCACTACTCTCTATTAATAGGAAAACACCACAAATATAAAAATATATGAGCTCAGCACAATTTTGAGGCTACCACAACTGTCTCCAATGATTTCAAAAGTTGTAGATCAATACCACAGAAAATATGAAACAGGTTTTCTAACAGCGTGTGTCAGGTTAGCAGGTCGCAGCTCGTGGCTGCTGGAGAAGGTGCTGGGGAGGGCGGCTGGCGCCGTGGGCACGGGAAGGGGTGGGAAGAGCCAGATGCTCAGAGCTGCTGCCCAACACCCCCCGCGGGGAACCCTCTCTGGCCATAAGGCTTGGAGATGTCCCCTTGGGTGGCCGCTGAAGGGTCCCACCCTGGGCAGGAGAGGAAGGAGGCGGGTGGGCGACGATGGGCTCCCTGCGCCGAGAGGGTCTGACAAAGCCATGTCCAGCCCTGTGGGGGGAGACGGAGCTCGGCCCCTTTCACCCACCATCACCTCCTTTCACCTTCCCTTGGGAAAGAGCACCCAGGGAGCCGCGGGCTTCACCCTCTCACCCCGGCTGGGACCCCAGCGGGACGGTGGCTCTGCCGGGGACGCCGAGCCTGAGCCGGGGTGGCCCAAAGGAGGGAGCTCGCCTGGTCCCAGCCTCCCCTCCCAGCACGTGCCACCGAGTCCACTGAACATTTCGATTTAAATATTTCACTTTGTTTATACAGCAATGTACAGAATATACAGCATCGGATAATTATTTCCCAGTAGACTACAAGCGTCTCCCAAGATGACCTCTTTTATCAACAAATATATATAAATTGACGGTAATAAAAGAGTCGTACCAACAAATATTATGGCTTTTCAAATAGTGTAGCTGCATTGTGCCATTGAACTTAGGAGGAACCAACCACGAGAGAGACAGAGAGATCGGGGGGCTCCGGCTGCTGAGCCCGGGGAGCCCACCAGCGCGGGGCACTGCCGGCTCTCGCGGCCGGCGGCAGGGGACGGGGGGATGAATTTACGACCCATACTCTGGTCTCTGTCTCCAGGCAAGCCAGTTCTTCAAACTCTCCTTTCACCCCTGCTTTGGAAAAATTTGGCCAGATGGGGGTCTTCCCACCCCTGTCCCCACGGGTGGGGTGGCACGCTGGGCTGTCGGGGATCTCTCTCTCTCTTTCGGTCACGGTTTGCACAAGAGGTCTGCCTGCCCTGGAGTGCCGTGAGGGGGAGGATGCACAGGATGAAGGGTGACACAGGACATGGGGGGTGATGGTGACAGGTGGCTGGGCTGACCCATGCTTCAGGCACATCAGGAAGGGTGGTGGCAGCCTCCTCCCTGCCTGCCTCCCCTCTGCCACCCCGGGGGCAACGGGAGGCTCACCGCTGCCTGCTGCCTGGGGGGACGGTGCCTGCTGTCAGAGGAGAGCAGGAAAGTGTATGCCGTCATTTTTGGAGCCCAGTGTTGTTGTGCTCCAGCACATCAGAGATATCAGAGGGCAGCCTTGCCCGGGCAGTGCCATCCCCAGCCCCTGCCCCGGTGCGGGGTGCCCACCGGACCGGCTGCCTGCCCCCCCAGCACCCTGTGCCTGCTGCTTGCCCTGTCTCCTGGGATGCACCCACCCACTCACTCTAATGACTGGCTCATTAGGACCAGCCAGTCATTCTGAGCTCTTTTTCTCCCACATCCTGCCATTACAGGGGGCCATGGGCTGCCTCTCCCATGGGGGGCATCCTGCCCCCTGGGACAGCGTGCCAACCCCCTGCCCGAGTCTCCCCCCGCGCCTGAGCGGGGCAGGGGAAGAAGCTGCTGGTTTGAGTTACGTCTCTGCCGAGGCAGATGCGCTTCCGTGGCCTCTCCACACTCACAGCAACAGCCTGTTTCCTACTCCAGGAAGAGGAGCAGTTGCTCTCCCTGGGTTTCAAGTGTATGGAAATGGCTTTTGAGAACTGGAGCGGCCACTCCAGCACCGAGATAACTGGACCACTTAATTACAGTAGAAAATTAGTAAGGGTTCTAAATTACTGCTACTGTTGCTTTTCGACTAATTCCCATCTCATCTCCCTCTTTTCTGGAATATTACGATCACTCCCTAAAGGCCTCTCTGGCTGAAGCCAAGGCTGATGCTCTCATGGACAAGCCCGGGCAGCCCAGGGCTCTGCTTGGGCTCTGCCTGCGGGATGCTGAGCCGCGGGAGGCTCTGCCCGCTGCGGCCACCACGCAGAGAGCAGTGTGGGGAGGGTCCCAGGGGGAACCTGCTGCATTTGAGATGTGTGAGCGATCCTGTCAACAGCTTTGCTCCCTGGCACTCTGACTGCTTCTTGCTGGGAATATCCGGGGGGGCTTCTTTGTTGGGGCTGGGGAAGGTAGCGCATGGTGTCATCCATCTCCTTCTTGCTTGGTTGACAGTGATGTGAACATCAGGTGGACCAGAGACCTCTCCGGATATCCTAGGGACAGTAGTAAATATAAAGATACCCATGACTGCTGAGCGGTCTTCAGGAAGCCATGGTTTTGCTTTTACAGCTTCCTGCCACATCTCTGCAGCACAGTGAGCCAGGGTACAGAGGGCTGTCTTGTACCAAACTTGGCATTTTGTGGCTTTTACCAGCACGTGTGTGTTTCTTCCAGCAGGAGCTAGGAAACTTAGGAGAATTCACCAACTTCTCCCCTTCATCCACAAATAAAACCTTTTTGCCGGATTACTGAACAATGTTCTCAACAGTTAGTCTGAAAGCTGAGTTATTTACAGAGATGTCCCTCCCAGTGGTTAATACGTTAAGGAAAAAAGAAGCTGCACAGCGTTGTCAGAAGTCGTGTTGTCATCAGGGAAAAAATAAATAACGTTTTCTTTCTTGCTAACATATCAACTAAAATGTAAAAGGTATTATCACAATCTTCTGCTCTCCAGAGCTGCTGGAAGTAGTGCATGTTTCCTGATTAAGAGCAAGACAAGCAGGTCTCCTGCACAGCTTGCTGTGGGAGCACGTTCTCTCAAGAGCTTGGAAGATGAGGAAGCAACATGGGGCAAACAAATGAAGACACAACAGGAATCAGTTCATTTCCATCTGTACAGGGGGAGTTCAGTCGAGGAGCATCTAATCACAGCTCTTGTTGCCAGGCAAGACCAGGGCAATGCTGTAGCTGAAAGTGAGGGGTGAGGCAGCCATCTCCACATCCTTGCACGGAGCAAGGAGAAATCCAGTTGGTGCTGCTCCTACATCCCTGGGAGTCACAAAGCCACTAGTTTGCTAAATTTTCATTAATGCTCCCAAATAAGCCCAGCAGCAACTTGGGACACATTTGCACCACCAAGATCCAATCTATCCTGTGCCAGTGCAGCAATTGTACAGTCACTCAGCAATGCTCTGTGTTTCTAAGGATCTCTGCAAAGAAGCTCCTCTGCCGGCAGCTCCTATTTCTGCCACCGAGGAGCCCACCACGGGCTGTGGGCTGGGGCAGAGGGGCACACGATGCTGGTGATGACAGTGCCATGGCAATTTTGGTCAAGAAAGCAGAGCAAGGCTTTACTCCACGCGGGTCTCACCCTGCTGTCATCTGTAAGGGACTCCTCTGAGTTAGAAATAAGAGAGAAGAAATAAATCCAACCTCAATGGAGAGGTCAGGAGTGCAGGGAGAAACCCCTGTGACAGTCCTCCATGTCCTGTAAGAGTTTAGGAGCTCTGAGGGTGGATAAGCATCCCACGCAGTTGCAACTTGCTTGACTTAAACTCTGCCCATTTTAAGCAGGGGCAGGAAGGTTCTGTAGGCAGTAAGATAAGTTTTAGAATATTTAGAGCACTAAGAACAGGCTGCATTTTGAAAGAAAGAAGTTGAGGTGGACCTTAAACCCTCAGCTAAAGGAATTAGTTTCAAGCTAAAGCAATTAGGAAGTGTAGAGGCAGGATTGAAGCAGGGGGTGGAGCTGGAGCATCTGTGGGGCTCAATAACAGTGGAAATTCAGCAGAGATGCTTCATGTTCCAAAAACTCATGACTGAAGGATAGCAGCACAATAAAAACAGTGCCTGTGGGCAGTGACTGCAATGGTGCCTGGATGATGAGAGCTCGGCATACTGACATTTGCCTCTGCTGTGTGGAAAATTGCATGGTCCTTTGCTTGCAAGGGCTCAAGTCCAAGACATCTTTTGGAATGGTTAATTTTTGCCCTGAGATACAAAAAGCAAACCTGAGCTAATAAGCATTGCTGTTCGGTCTAGTGAGAGAGAAGCTTTGTCACACACGGGAAGCCCCCAGTTGTGGGGAAGGAGGGACAGAGAAGACTCCTCCGCAGAGAGCCTGAAGAAAGAGGGCATGCAAAGAGGCTCCAAAGGGGACACCAGCACAGAGCGAGCCCCCGCTTGGACTGTCACTGTGTGCAGATGGCCATTCTGGGGCCTTGAGATGGCTCAAGGCAGATGCTGGAGCATCCCATCCTCAGGTTGCATGTGCTCCTGGTGCTGCTTCCCACCACTGCCTGGAACTGCACGCTGTTGGGGGTGGGGTGTGTGTGCGGGAAGGGCTGGAGAGCTGTGGTCAAGCAGTACAACAAATCAAGGGCTATTTTGATAAAGAAGATAAAAATAAAAATAGAGCCTGGGGTTGGTGCCCACAGATAGCCAAAAAAGCTGGATGCTGTGCTATAGCTGTGCAGAAATCAAGATGCCTGGCAGCTGGGGCAGGGGGATATGCTGTGGCAGTGCCTAAAAGAGGGTTTCCAGGTCTGGATGGGACCCCAGGGCACTTCTCCCTTCCCCATGCCCTCTGATGCTGGACATCCCACCAGCAGCACCCAGCAGCACAGCGCCTGCTGTGGGACCAGCGTGTGCCCCGGTGCCTTCTGTCACACTTCTGGGGAGGGGAGCCCCACGCTGACGTTCTCCTTGGGAGGGTGGGAAGGAGCCAAGGGGGGGTGTGGGGTCTGCAGGAGAGAGTGACGAGCCACCCTGGGGGCAGCGTGTGCTCAGGGGCAGGGCTGGCCGTGCTCGGGATGCTCCAGAGAGACAGCAAGACCCTGCGAAGACCCCTTGGATGCTCTCAGCGATGTGCCACGGACAGCAAATCCTGCCAGTAACAGCAATCTTCTGGCTATCTTTGCTGATAACAGCTCCTGCTTGGCCAGACAGCCCCTTTCCTCCGCAGCATCCCTTCCCTCTCTGCGAGGGCTGCTGCTGGCTGCTGAGAGGTTCTCGGCGCCTCCAGTTCCAAAGGGAGGAAGGCTCAAGTCCTTAAAAGGTGAGGAATCTCACTATATTTATTGTCCCTCGGTGCTTTCTGCAAGAATACAGATGCCTTTGGATGCTTTCCTGTGCAAGTCCATTTTTCACAAGATAAACAAGCTTTTCTGCAGCTGTGCTATGCATGTGCATGCGTGTGTGTGGTCGGTCATCGCACACTCAGAGAGGCCAGGAAGGTTCCTGGTGCTCTGCAGACATGCTTCCCCAGTTGGGCCTGGGTGCCAAAGCCTACAGAAAAATAACGCAGGGTTGTTTTCTTTTTTTTTCCCCAGAGTAACACCCTCTGGCATTTAGTTTTCCCTCTTTTCTCTCTCTCTGTCACTTTCTGGCTATGCCCAGCTCTTGCCCTTCTGCGAGTGCAGCTGAGCCTCCTCCTTAGGTATGTATGTGGCACCCAGTGCTGCTCCACTTGATTCTTACCCAAGCATTTAAAAATAGCTGTAACAATAACACACGGGCTCTGGTTCTCCCCTCCCTAGCACAGTGAGTTTATAGACTGCATCCAGAGTCCTGACCAGAAAGGGCTCAACACCTCCCTTTTCTCTTTTGTCCTTTAAGGAAGGGATGAAAGTGGGGGAAAAGATGCAGAAATGACCCTTGCAATCCCCCCTTGCCCCAGAGGCACTGCGGGCTGCCCTGTGTTGTCATCTCCAGATGAGGGGTTCGTGTCTCTTGGGCGAGCAGTTCCCACGCTGCCCTGGCCGAGGGGCAGGCAGGAGATGGCAGCTTGGTTCAGCTCAGTCTTGAGGTGATGCAGATTTCTGGTTTCCTGCAGAGTCCTGGCTCTTCTGCACCTTTTCCCTGCGCTCAGGTTGTGGCTGGGATTTGCCTCCTCAGCTGCTGGCCCCTGGAGAGCTGGAGACATGGTTTTGATAAGATGCTCAGGGCTGTCACTGCTCCGTGTGCTCCTTCCCTTTGTCCCCAAGCACTTCGCAGTGGCCCGTCGAGTTGTTTGGATGTCTGTCTCTGAATGTCCCTTGCACCGTGCCGCATCCTTTCCCGTGGGGTGATGAGAGGGGGTGAGAGCAGCTTTGGCGGGCGGATAGATGGAGGCAGAGGGTATGAAGTGCTGTTTCTGGCAACCTCCCTGAGCCTGGGGCTCTGGCAGAGATGCTTGATGCCCTTCCCTTGGGAAGGGAGGGTGGGAAGGCTGCCAGGGATGAGGAGACGGCACCGGACAGAGGACCAGGGAGCCGGGGCAGATGGTGCAGGGGGCTGTGCTCCTCCTGCTGCCCCAGCAGCGTGCGGCCGGGCACGGGCTTTTGCCTCCGGGGGTCTGGTTTAAAGACGAGGTTGGTGCCGAGGAGCAGGCATTACACCCTTGCAAACACAGCCGGATGGCCAGGGCTGGGTGGGACGGTCCTTCTCTCCTTGGCATAGCAAGGCAGCAGCCAGGCAAAAGGTTCGCTGGTCATCCATGGCTCCTCCATGAGCAAGCGGGCGAATAGGTGGCACGCCGTGCATGAGCTCGTTAGAGATGCTGCGAAGCACGCAGCTGGCAGAGAAAAAGTGCATAAACAAGGCTGGTGTTTACTGTGTGATTTAGGCCTTGTCCTAAGCAAGCAACGTTCCATCATTGGCTTTGGAAAGCTCTGCGAGCAGAACAGTTATTTACTGACTACTAAACCCAGCTGCTACACGAGTCCCCTTCAACTCATTAATGACTTTGGCGACTGCAATTCATTCTGGAAAAGTAAATGCGAAATACCAACAGCACCTTTCAGTAGATGTAATTATTGGGTCAGGAGAGCTGCTTTGCTTTCATAATTCACTGCCTGGGAAAAGTCTGCTGAGGTGACTGTCCGCGCTCGCCTGGGGCTCGGCCAGCACTGAACCTCGTCCCACACTCACCCTGGAGGGGGCTGAGCTCCCCTGGGGAGAGCAGGGCCGGTGGCACGGCTGCCAAAGGCAGCGCAGAGTGCGGGGAAGGGCCAGGGCTCTGAGGGAGCAGCCCAGAGACCCTCTTAAATGCCCTGGCTGCGGGGGTGCGTTGGTTGCTTGCTCTGCCCCACGTCCCCCCGCAGCAGCAGATGGTGGTTTTACTGCCTCTGGGTCTCAGCGGACATGGTCACGCTGCAACAAATCCAGCCACCTGCCCCGGGGCACGCTCCCAGCCCACAGCTGGGAAGCCAGAGGTGGTGGTGCCGGTCTGACCGGTCTGCGCAGGAGCCCGGGCACGCGTGCCTCCCCAGGAGGAGCAGGGAGAGCCCCCCCAGAGGAAGGCAGCACTGCTTGGGACCCATCGCTGTGGCTGGTGTTGGGGTTCAGCTGCCAGCCCAGGACCTCAGGAGCGTTGCAGGGAGGGCTTATCTGGGGGGAGCTCAACAGATGCTGGGTGAAGCACGGGGAGGAGCGACGTCCCTGGGCACGTGGAGACTCTTCTCCTCCTCGGTGCTGGCTGAGCTCTGCTGAGACACACGGGTCAGAAGTGGCCCGTGGCATCTGCACCAGGACACAGGCCGGCAGCTGCCCAGAGCAGCCCCAGCCACCAATTCTCTCAGTGACCCTGTGGTGTGTCTCAGATACGCTTTGGACCCTGCCCTGCTAACGCGTCTCTTGCCATCAGCTGGTGGCTTAACCCAGCGCAAGTCACTGTGGGGCTGGGACAGGAGCAGGAACAGTTCTATATAAGTGGAGGACACAAGCAGAAAGAGCTGCTGAGTGCCTCGGGAACATGGGCCCGGCTCTCCCCAAGTCTAGGGCAAGCCAGCACCCATGGGGGACCCAGCACGGGAGCAGCCCATGGCCCCAGAAGGGCCACATGGGTGGCTTTTTGTCCCCGGGTGGTTTCCTGCACCCCCCTGAGAGCTGGGTGGGCTGCGAGCCCCCCCTGTGCCACAGCACACCAAGGCACGATGGAGATGGAGCAGGAGGAAAGCCATGAGATGGGTCAGGGGCGGGCGTGCGGGGGCACCGTTGCCCCTCGTCAGCGTCAGAAACACGATGAAAGCAAACCAATGAGTGAGGAAGAGAGAGGTACAACAGAAAGGGTGACAACGGGAGGGGAGGGAAGGGTTTTTCCATAGAGAATATGCAGGAGCACTACTGGATCCGTCAGGAATCATTACAAACTTTATTTGTCTGTGCATTGTGTACCATTGATAAGGATCATCACAATTAGTGGGCTCACTGCCTATAATGGTGGGCAATACACACAAAGAAAAATCAATGAAGCCAAATAGATGAAAATGAAATAATTGTACATAAAGGTAATCATAAACCTGAACAACCTGTACCTGCGTTTGATTCTTCCCCAAGAAACAATGAGAAACAAAAAGAAAACCCCAAAAATGCATCAAAAGTGAAAAAAAGGCTCAAGAAGAAAAAAAAAAATAATCCAACAACTTCATAATCCTGGAGAAAACTTTGCATCAGGTTAATTAGAAACTTCCACAGATTGCTCAAAAGGAGTGGGAATAACCCCAGCCGAGGGTTACGGTAGGAGGCTCAGCTGTGGCTTTCGGCTGGGGGGAAGAGCTGACGGGGGACGACGCACAGGCTGGGCGCCCGGCGAAGGGCTGTGGGGTGAGGAGACATCTCTCAACACAACGTCACCCCTGTGCACAGCATCACCCTGCTGCTGCCCCGGGGGAGCCCCCCACCCACACCTCCCGGCCCCTGCCGCTGGGGTGGGGGGTGACGTGCCCTGCCTCACCCTTCCCACCAGCACCAGACCCAGACGGGGCAGAATGTGGCTTTTTTTCCTGGGGGACGTTTCCTAGTTAGGGTCAGCGGGGTGGGAGATGTTGTTGTTACGGCCCCTCAGCCCTTCACGCTGAATTATTCTGCCTCCAAATGGCTGTGGGAAAGGACCAGCTTCGGGGACTGATCCCAATGGCTTCATGCTCGGAAACGGGGGCTATCACTCCACTTCTGGGGATGTGGTGGGACGTGGGGCTTGTAGGCAGCCACCGGCCGTAGAGGCAGGGGCAGGGGCAGCGCTGGCTGAGCTGTGCGCGTCCCCCCCGGGCTCAGACACGGCTCGTCCCCCTCGGGCTCCCCGGGACCTTCTGTAAAACCACCTTCAGATGGTGCATCAGCTCCAGCGTGTCCTGGACTGGCTGCTGTCAGGGGGAGCCTGGCCACGTCAGGGGACGGAGCCTGCAGTCTCTGGGCTGGGGGTTTTCCTCCCCTGGAAACCTAATTCTGTGTGGCTATTATTGCTTCTGGTGGACCCACGTGCGGAGCAATAAACGGGGACAGCTTTCCCTCCTTTTACCCACACTAAGAGGAAACAGACAAACAAACAAACAAACAAACAAAACCCTACGGCGAAACCAAACTAAATAAAATAAATAAAAAAAAAAACCTGGTGAAAAGAAAACACTTGTATCTGCAATGCTCAACCCACATGGCTTGGAGGACTATCACTATAGGATGCTATATACAGATAGGGTTCAATTCACTCATGCAAATGTTACAAGTACCACGACAGCATGCCCGAGGCGGCGGAGGAGGAGGAGGGAGAAAAGCTCCTGCCGCTCCGCGCGGCCCCGGCTCGGGACACCGGACACCGGGTTGCGGCTGCACAGCCCTGAAGGATGGAGGGGGGGAGGCAAGGGGCAATGTTGGGGAGAAAGGCTTAGTTGTACACACGCCAAAACAAACGAAAAAAAAAAACACCCAACCCCAAATCAATGACGAAAACGGTTTGTGTTCTATCCTTAGAAAGCTCCCAATTTCCCCTTGTCCTCAGTCCGGTCTCTTGCTTCTCTCTGGTGGGGCCAGGGGGGCGAAGGCAGGCGGGTGCTGGTCGGAGATGGGGACCCTGGCTCTCCTGGCTTTCCCTCGCCCACCGCTCTGCTTCTCACCAGCTACTCTGGCCTTCCCCGCGCCGATGCTCCCCAGCCCCCTCGGCATCCATCCTCCCGGGGGGCCGGCGGGTGGGGAGAGTGATGGGAAAGGGCTCAGGGGCTGTCGGCCGCTCCTGGTGGCAGAGGGGCAGGGAGGGCTCTGCCGCCGGGCTCCTGGCTGGGGTCCTGCTGGCTTTGGGGTCCTGCCTAGTTCAAAGGATGCTCCAAAGCCACTTTCTGTCAGCAGGTGTGTGAACATGGCAAATCTCTTTAATTCTTTCTCTGTTCATTATACACAGCGTTATATCTATATCTATACCTATATATCACTCTATATAGATACATATAGATATATATATATTTACTATCTCTGATTGTCCCTTTAGAAGCCCTTTATGTGGCAGTAGGCTTCCAGAGATGAGAAGAATATGTACAAGAGCCAGAGGAGGATAAAGAGTGAGGATGTGAGCAGCTTGGAAGTCCGCGGCCCGCCCAGCTCACCTCCAATCTCGGGTCTCCGCCGGTAGAGCAGCACTCCCACACTGATAAAAGCAAAAATGGTGAAGAGAGTGACAGAGAAGGCCAGGGTGCCGGGTGACACTTGGAAGGCTTGTCCATGCGCCGCATGGTAGATGGCTGCGATGGACCAGGCCACCCCGATGCCCAGGAAAACGTTCACAGCATTGCTCCCGGTGACGTTCCCGATGGAGGCGTCTGCGTACTGGTCCTGCGTGGCTGCTACTTTGCTGGCAAATGTGTCTGCAAAGGGAAGATGGAGAGAAACCCTCAGGAAAGAGCCAGGTAAGGAGAGACGGTGGCAGGCAGCTTGGGGACAGATCTCAATGGCATCACCTGGGGAATGAAGACAGTGGGTGAGGGGACAGGGTACAGCCCTGTCTATGGACACTCCCAAGGAAGGGCACATCTGGCCAGAGCCAGAGTGACAAACAGCATCCAGAAATGCCCTGGAGGGAAATCTCAATGTCCAGAAATATGGGCCTTCTCCCACTATGGCCCCAGATGCCCCACAGTGCTCCAAGCAAGAGACAACATTTCCCAGTACTATACTGGGTTCAAGGCCAGGTTGGATGGGGCTTTGAGCAACCTGGTCTGGTGGGAGATGTCCCTGCCCATGGCAGGGGTGTTGGAATTAGATGATCTCTAGGGTCCCTTCCAACCCAAGCTATTCTATGATTCTGCATCGGCCTCCTCTCCCACATGCACTAATTTATTGACTTGCAAAAGAAATGAAAAGATTGTAAAAGCCTTGTGGGAGCCACAATGGTTTGTATTTATCTTTCAGGTCCCCTGAAGTTTTGTATCTGTGTTTCCGTGTTTGCTTTAATGATGTTTCTCCTTTTGCCTCACTGAAGTCCAGTGCCTTGTGCAGACCCCCACTCTTTGCTAAAGAAGTGGTCATCTTTCACCCCTTAGGGATGAAGGTGAGTGTATGCTTGCCCAGGTGCTCCACCAGCTTTAGTACCGTTGGCAAAAGAGCTGTGATCAAACTTGGCCTTTTATGTGGCAGATCTTGTGTCGACCAGACCAGCTGCTCTGCACCAGAGAGATGTGCTGATTTTGCACCCAGACACACCCCGGATCTGCAGGGGGGCGAGCAGGAGGGGGGGATCTGGGTTTTGTCCAGATGTGCTCACAAGCTCACAGCTCACAAGATGATGAATCCTTAACACACCTGCACTCCCGGATCACCTTGGGTACAGGCAGCAGAGCGTGGCTCAGAAAAAGAAAAGGGTGAGGTCAGATTTCATGTTTTTCAGTTCTATGGAGTTCCCTTTATCCCAGCAGGGCTCCAAGATGAGGCAGGGAGGCACGGCCTGGCACCGAGACCCAGCTTCGTGTCGGGGGGGAAGCAGGACACTTAGAAGCACAGTGAGAGGGGCCATTTGCACCGAAGAAATTAAAAGGCTGCTATATTTTTTTTAAAAAAACAGCTCCCATGGGAATGCATCTGCCTGCTGAGGAAAGGAAAAGGCACTTCCCCTGTTCTCAGCCTCGGAGACGGTGCAGTAACGTGACCATGGGACAGTCCTGACACCTTTGTGTTGCTGTGGGAGGAGGGATGGGGCGCACCTGGGGCATGCCGCCAGCCCCCACCAGAGGCTGGGAACAGCTCTGGGCGCTTCCACAGGCTCGAGCCCTGCTTTTAATGCATGTTTGATTTCACTGCACGTGTTGTCTGCCCTCCTGGAAAGCACCCTGCACCTTCCTGGTGTGGAGGAGCCCAACCAGCACCCAGCTAACACAACACAGTCCGCGAGGACCTGCTAGTTCAAACAAGAGTAACAAAATATATCCTAAAAACAACTTATTAAATGCGACCTTTTGTCAACAAGATTTGTGCTGTCAAGGGTGTGAGACAGCCCTACAAACTTCACGCTTAGAAGTGCCAGAGGTCCAAAAAATGCTCCTTCTGTTCCATGCTCAAATCTGTTCTTCCTTTTGGTTCTGTGGCTTCTCTGTTGGGCTCTGATAGCATTAGGAACCCACGTGCTGATCAGTGGAAGTCTGGGGGTGGTGAGGGAAGATGTGACCGACACGGCAGGTTTGGGGATGTTGGGTTGGAGCTCCTTGTCTGATAACCAGGCCATGCCTGGCCAGCACAGCCCATGGAAGAGGGTGAGTGAAAAGCACGGGCCCTTTCACACAAGCTGACATCGGACTTCCCAGAGGAACCGTATCACTGGGACCATCCTCTCCAGTGCACCAGTTCACCCCGAAGAGGAGCCCTTTGCTGAGCTAGCAGAACAGGAGGTTGAGTTGCAACAAGTCAACGTGAATTGAGAGGAAAAAGTGGGATGTAGGTATGGAGACTCATTTTTTTTGGTCTCCCCGGTTAGTCCTTGGTCTCTGCTGTCTTCTCAGGCTGGGTGACCATTTGATGAGAGACATGTCTCCAAACATTTGTGGGGTTGGGGCCTTCTAGGGGCTTCACAAATCTCATTTCAAGGAGCTTCCCTAGCTCAGTAGCCTCACCTTCATCCATTAGGTGACCAAAGCTGAATCTGGTCTCATACACAGGCATCCGGGCTGGCAGAGCACCCTGAGCACGGACTGTCACCTAACTCACCTGGGAGGCAAAGTTAGAGGAGCAGATGCTCAGAAAGAAAATGCAGGACTGCCAACATAGACGGCATTTTAATTGAAGACCAATTCCTACTTTGAAAGTGGACGTCATGGAGGCTGTCCACAGAAATAGACACTTCACAGTCTTTGCAAGGGGAAGGTCCTTGAAATAATTTCCATGGGACTGAATCCACATCCTGGTTCAATTTTCCCAGCCCATCTGAGACTGAAAAACAACTTCCACGTACATTTCAAATCTGTCTCTGAGGGTCCTTCAGAGCACTGCTAAGGACCTTGCTGTGCCCAGCTTTCCCAGCCCAAACCCAAATCCAGACAGGGCAGAGAGGCACCTTTACAACAAACCCTGCTGTTGTCCTTACCTGGCACCGATGTTCCCAGTGCAACAAACACGACCGCAGTGACCGAGTCCTTCAAGCCGATGGTGCAGCCAAAGTGGGATGCCAGGTCGCCGATGAAAGCTGTCAGGAGGCCAATCATGAGGATGGAAACAACGAAGCAAGCCCAGCCATTCCAGTAGTCTGTCGGGGGCACGAAGGCAAAAAGGACCTTCCAGAAGACGGTCAGAAAGTGCATCACGTAGTCGAAGCAGGAGGGCAGCTTCTCCTCCCCACATTCATCATCATCGTCATCTTCCCCTGGAGAAAACCACCAGTGCCTCATTAGACTTGCCCACCCTGGAGGAGGTTGAGTAAAGCTCCTGTGCACACTGCAGCCCCCCAAATGCTATCTCTCATCATTTGGGCCCTAGAAGACCTTGACTTCCCAATATCTTATTTTCTGGGCAATCATCATAAGGGCTCCATGGCTTTTCCCAGCTCCTTCCCACAGCACAGAGAGATCCTCCGAAGGCATCAGTCTCAAAAACCAACCTGCACTTCATAAAATGCAGGGCCTCACACAAGCACCTCTGCCTGGGTTTAACCACAGATGCTTTCTGGGACTCAGCCCCTGCTGAGCCCTCTTCCCAGAAGATGTGGGAAACAACTGGCCTCACACTGACTGGAGCTGATTGCGGCAGGTGAACCCACCAAGAGCAACACGTGCCTCACGGAGACTCCCCTAAGGAAGCTCTTTTTGAGTTGCTTTTCACAAGCACCTGCAATCGCTTCCAGCTCTCTGGAAAGATGGCTGGGTTTGGTGGCTACCAAGCTGCTAGCTCTGTCACTTTGCCTCTTCTGCAAACTGGGTTCAAGCCATGAAGATCTCTGCCCAAAGACCTCCCTGGTCCATCACTGCTGAATGTCCTTCCATGTTGCATTTCCCTGTCCCTTCATGTGCCTCTCTACAAGCTCTGGCTTCCCATTCCTTTTGGTTTGGCCTGACCAAGGTCAGTGGGCACCCCCTGTACATGAAAACACTTTCCACTTGCACCCCTTCCAGGTAGCCATCAAGCAACCCAGGCCATGAGCCAGCTATGGGGCACCATTTGTCACACCAAAAATGCACTTTCCTTCTCCTGTGTATTTTCTCTCCCTGGTCCAGGTCAGTGCTTCATTGCCCCATCCCTGGAGGTGTTCAAGGCTAGGCTAGATGGGGTTTTGAGCAACCTGCTCTAGTGGGAGGTGTTCCTGCCCAGGGCAGGGGGGTTGGAACTCAATAATCTTTAAGGTCGCTTCCAACTCTAACCACTCTATGATTCACTCCTCACCAATCTGTTGTTAATGCCATGCAGGGGTCATTTTCCCAGCACGAGCTTGCCAACAGTCCTGGCCCTGTCTCTGCTCGCTGGGCACATGGTGTGGGTCGGACCCTGGCTACCCCTGTGCTGAGTGCTCATTGCTGCTCACAGCTGCACCCCTTGCAGCACCTGGGTCTCCAGCAGAGACAGGGACCTGGGTATGTGAGTCCTGGTGCCCTTCCTGCCTGATGTCCCCAGGGTTCTCAGACCACGGGTGCCAGCCCAAAAGGCTCTCAGGGGGTTATGCACCCACAGCCATGTGCCCTGGACATTCAGGCTGGCTTGTGCCCAGAAGCTCTCCTGTGGGTCACAGGGAAAGAGCTCAGCAGACATTGGGCTGTCTTGGCCCCCTCCCCTGGCTCCTTGGCCCTTTCCCCTGGCACTGGCTCAGCACATCTTCATCTTGTTGGTCCTGGCAGGGCCATGGGGATCCAGGCAGGGGTCTCACTTTCTCCCTTCCCTGCTCCAGGTGTCAGCACCTCACTTTTCTCTCCAAAGCCACTTGGAATCCAGCCTCCAGGGAGTACCCATCGTGCGGGGCTGAGTGAGCCCCTTGGGGCTGGTGACCTCCTGCCTGACTCCAGCAGCTCTGACCGGGCACCTGACAAGCCTGCTGGCCAGCCTGTTCTCTGGGTGGGCTGTGTGGCCAATGCAGAGCTCCCCCAGCCAGGGGTAATGGCCAAAAACTACAGCATGGATGGTAACATTGGGAGCAATGTCTCCTCCAGGAGGATGGTGCAGCCCTGGGACACATGCTGATGGACATCGTATTTGGAGGTTTTCAATATTTGGTTAATAAAGCCATGACTACCCGGGAAAAAGTCCTACTCAGCACCCTGTTGGGGTGCAACTTTGCACACATTGTTTATCTTCAAAGAACCTTCGTAGATCAAGACCAACACATAAGATAGAGGCAGTGGGAATCTTCATGTCTTGACAATAATTTGATGGAAAATGATGTATTGCTTGGCTTTGAAGCTTCAAACTCAGTATGGCTGAAACAGTAGCTAGTTGGTGGAATGATGTTATTATTTTGGCAGATACAGATACACCATTCCTGTGCACTGTCAAGGAGACAAGGGACAGTTTTTCAGACTCGGAAGCCTATGCTGGCCTGTATCTTTTGCTCATTGCACAAAGGCTGGTACTGGCAGGCTGCGCTGTGCTGTGCACACACTGTGATTTTGCAGCGGGTACTTCAATCCCCTCCCAACCCTCATGGTAGTAGGACTGTCATGGATCTAAACCTTTATGGAGATGAGAAAACAGGCTAAAAACTGAACATGAGTGCCACTGCCGTAACACTCATCAGACCTGTCTATCATTTTGTTATGCAGCAATAATGTCTCTCTTTAGAAGAGCTGGCCGCATCCTGTGAAGGTGACTTGGAACAGAATGATGTTGGATGGTGACCCATCCTGGTGACCCAGGGGTGTTCAGGAACAGGCTCGCAAACCCCAGGATGTTTTTTTGTGGAAAAAACTTTACGGGCTGTTGGGTGCACACGGAAGGCAGGTATGGGTGAGAGGCTCCAGCTCAGCCCTGGGGACACCACAGTCTCACCTGCACCTCCCACAGACCCGGCCTCCTGTGTCTCCACCGCTCAGCTTCCCTGCCAATATTGCCACCAGCTCCTCATGGGGTGGGAAAAGGGGTTTTAATGTTTCTTTTCTCAGCCAGCACGTTATGTTTTGAAGTGGGAATGTGTGCCTTTCACCTGCTCTCCACGGTGGGCTGCAGGGAAAAACTCCAACCCAAACTCAAGTGTTTGAGGCATTTTAACTTGCTTGGCACAAAGCTTGAGGAGATAAGTCCTGGCAAAAAAGTAGGTCCAGGGCTCAGAGGCAAACTACCGATCCCCAACTGCAAGGGACAGCTCATGTCCACCCAAATATGCTGCATTTATTAAATGTTTGTTAATTATCCTGCTAGCGCTGATGGTGGCTGTATATTCAAGACAGACAGTGGAAATGGGACATTCCCAGAACTGCAGTCTTCACATGCGTCACGGAGATGGGATCCAAGTACCAGTGATTATCTTTACTTTAATATGGGATGCAATTAAATAATTGATTCTGGCATAGATTAGTTTAGCCATATTAGCTACAAAACCTGCAGCAAGGATTGTCTTGCGTGATATGTTCATGCTGTATCTGAAATAATGGGAGGCTCTTGGCTGGAGGCTCTGAGAATAACTATGCTACAAGGGAAGGGATTGCAATTCAAGTAGATAGCTGCTGCACGGTGTCCTCTCCTCGCTTTCAGAAGCGGAGGGTAAATGGTACGGCCATCACTTCGGATTACTTTGTGCTGGGCAGAGGTTACCCCCGTACAGCAGAGCTGGAGGTAGGAAGTGCGAGTGCTCCCCCATGCATTTCAATGCACAATTAGACAGATGAGCTCCAATTGCCTTCCCCAGTGATTTAATTTAAGCTGGTTGATTTTGCCCTGATGCGTGCACACACATGGCCCAGCCTGGGCTATGATGTTGTGACATCCAGCCAGTGAGTTACCATGTCTCCAGCTGTTAAAGCCACATCTGGAGGAGACCTTCTTTATTTCATTTTCCACAGATATGGAAACGCTAATATATCCTATACTGGGCATACTGGTAAAGATGGCAGTGGTGCCTGTGAGGCCAGTACAACAGGGCATTTCTGAGGGAAAGTCAATTCTCCAAGAGAGGGAAGATATGCCCAGATATGACCGCAGATATCTCGTGCTGCTGCAGCTATTGGGCTGCTGAGCCATAACCTCCAGCCACAGCTGGTGGGAGCAGCAGGAGCCCCTGAAAGCAGGCGGTCAACGGCAAATTTGGCTCAATGGAGAGGGGGACACAGTGGCTCTCTTCAGGGCTTGGCACCCTCGCTACTGTGCTGTGTTCTCCACGGCAGTACGGGGAGCAGCAGGGACAGGGAGCACCGCTGCTTCACACTGCCATCATTTATGCTGCTCTGAATTTAAACACTGTGTTTGCCTCCCAGATCTCTCTCCCTGAAACGACTTTCCCCCCCTGCCACCCAGCAGCAGCCACGGCGCTTCTCTGCCGCGTGCTGCAGACCACTTAATGCAGGAGGTTTCCTACACATCAGACAAGGTGATCCCGCTAACGGGTTTTATCAGCTATCTTATGTATGCAGATGCTGTAAATAACTTGGCCACCTGATTTGCCTTCTGCTGCTCCGCTGTGGTCTGTGCTCCCGACACAGCCGAGCCGCCAGGTTGATCGTAATTCACCTGGAGCTGTGGTCCGAACTCACCCGCACTGACAGTAATAGCCTCAATAAACTGCTCCCTCCAGCTGTTTGTGCCAACCACCAGGGCCAGATTTGTCTTCTTAATGAGCTTGTCCACCGTGTTCTGTGGATGGAGAGGCAAAGGAGAGAATTAGGGGCTACAGGGCTAGACACGACGGGCTAAAGCCCACCAGCACTAGTGCTTACAGCCATGCACTTATGGAAAAAGCTTAGCAGATTTTAAGCTCAGGTCAAGAGCCCCAGCAGTGAAAGCAAATGTAAGTACTTGCAATTCCCCTCACTGCTGTTCAAAAAGACCTTTTGAAACCTGCCCACGATGGGAGTTTGAACCATCTCAGTGGAGGTTTAACAGCAAATAGCGCTGCTTCCACAGCTCCTGTTGTTCCCAATGCTGGGAAGAACTTTTACTGGGCTACTTCAAAGGACTAACTGGGACCTGATCAAGGCCCATTTGCAGAGCTGGGCTCTAGCTCTCTGTGCTGCTTGGGCACTGGAGCTCAGTGACAGCAGAGGAGGTGCTTTGGCAGCAGCAAGTAGGAGATGCTCTTGGGCAGCAAAACCAGGGAAGGGAGGCAGCCACCGCTGTGCTGCAGTTAAGGGTGGTCTGCTATTTTTTATACTGCAGAAAAATGGAATAGATAATGAAATAGCCAGCTTTCAGCTCTTGGTCTGGCGTGTGCATTCAAGGCAGCTCAGCTTCACAACCACTACTTGCATTTAGGGTATCAGCCCTTTGCACTGGGCATCCCAGTAAGTAGGACCCAGGAGTGTGACCCATCACTGTGAGAATGAGGTCACATTTTAAGGCAACCATTTTGCAGCGTTTTGGAGCCCAGTCAGCTCTTAGGCTCACCAGACTGCCGTGCTTGTATGATAACCACAGTCTGTGAGTGGGACAGAAAGTCTAGAAACATGGCTGTGGGCTAATGGACAGGGTGAGGATGCAGAGTGTATTTTAACCCACCGCCATCTCGCTGGAGAGACCCTCACCCTTTCATCATGCTTTGGCTCAGCTGCCTTTGAAAGTGTCCCTTTGGTCCTGCTCCTGATGCCAGGAGCTGCCTTGCTGTGCTGCGATGCCATTAACATGTTCTTGCCAATGCTGTGCTAACCCAAAAGGAGAAGAAGAGCGGGGACATGAACAGTACCTTGAACTCGTAGGACTCCTCAATGATGATTTCGAGCTTTGTGTGCTCCCCCAGGACTGGGCGCCCCATCTCCGCGATTCGGCGCTCTTCCTCCTCCTTGCTGGTCAGTGGCTGCTTTTCTTCGTTCTCCTCTGCAAAGCAAAGAGCCCGTCGGTGAGCCAGGCCCGGCTGGTCACTCTGGAGCTGGCTTCCCATCAGTGGAAGAGGTCAGGAAGGCTCCATGTGGGAGCATGAACAACAGAGCAGCTGAGAAGGAGGAGGTCATGGAGCAATAGGCGAGGGAGTTTTGCTGGGAAATGCTAGCAAGAGGTCTGCAACTAGTCCAACCTTGCAAGGAGGCCAGTTCACCCTCAGGGCTGGGGAATAACCAAAGGTCTGCTGGGATGGGGCAGATACATCACTAAGGCTGCTCCAGCTCTCCAGGTCTGCATTGGGCATGGTCAGGACATTTCCATCAGCTTGTTACAACCAGAGAGAGCTGCCAGCAGTCTCAGAGCTGAGATGGGTATGGAATCTCAGCTCTGCTCCTTCTGAGCAGGGCTTTACCTTGGGGAGGGGACTGGCAGCCAGGGAGCTGCTCCTGCTGCCATGGTGGGTCTGGGGGAAATAGTGCTGGGTCATACAGGTGTGAGGACCCATCCACAGGGCATGGCCCCACACCCTGAGAGAGGAGGCAACGGAGTGACTACAAGAGCAATGGAGCAGGTCTGCACCTCCACTGGCAACTTTTGGGGCATGGGGACCCCAGGCAGCATGGCTTTTGTCACTGTCCCTGTGCTGAACCCCACTGAGCTCCCTTCCAGTCCACCCCAGGGATGAGCCGAAGGACATCAGGGCTAAGAAGGGCTGGATTCACTGGAGGCAGGAGTTACACTGTCAGTAGGCAAACACCCCAGTCAGTCCATGTCAGACCGCCACGGCCCCTGGGCATCACGCTGCCAGTACCTCGGATGGTGACCACGGTGCAAGGAAGAGGATGATCTCTAGCCTGGACCTTCCTGAAGATAGGTTTGCCTATCAAAGCGACCAGCAGGAGATCAGCAGGAGGGACTGCACGCCCCGTGCAAACCACCGCCGTGCGGTTAGTAAACCAGACTCTTACTTCACACGGGGTTAGTGTCGCTTCCTGACCAGCTGCTTCTGATCCACACAGGCAGCACCATGCTACGGGAAAGCCCTTCTCCTCCTGCTAGTCAAAGGGACTGGCCTCATGGACAGAGCCTTGTTAGTCTGAATTATTGTTTCCAGGACTCCTGAGGGGCTGCTCCGCGATGTGTGGGACCCGGGACCTTCTCCCCTTGCCGTGCTCGGCTTAATGAAGGATGCTGGGCTGGCTAACGAGGGCTGAGCAAACCCTGCTGGTGGGTCTTGCTGGTGGGCAGGGGCTGGGCGCCTGAGGCAGCCATGGGGTTGGGTGCCTCCTGCAGTGCCCCGGCACCCTGGCCACGGCCTGGGCAGCGAGGACAGGGTCCCTGCACTGTGAGGAGCCCTGTGCAGCCTCCTGCGCGGGCAGCAGGGAGGGGGAAGGCTGGACCAAGTGGAGAAGCCCCCTCTGCTTCAAGAGATGGAGGGGGGCTGCCTGTGGCTTCAGGGGTGAGGGGTCTTCCTCCCTGGGGTGGGGGTTAGGTGTGTAGGGCAGGCAGAGCACTCTGTGAGAGGACACGGTGTTAGTGTGACCGTCTGGGGCAGCGGGGCCGTGGCATGGCACCTTCTTACCCTTCCAGAGTTTCCCTCCAGGACAGAACAAAAGCAAAGAGGAAACCAAGAGGAAAGAGCAGGGTGAGCATATGGCCATTAAAGAGGAAGGAAGGGGGTGGGTAGCAGGGGGAGAGCAGAAATCCATACCTGTGATGGTGAAGCCACCTAGATGAAACCAAAAATGAGAAAAAGAGAGAGAGAGAGAAAGAGAGTGGATTAGCATCAGCACAGCAACAAGGACATCCTGCACCACGTGGTGGTCCTTCCCTGCCCCGTGGCTGGGGACTGTGGGCATGGGGAGCTACTCCAAAACACTCACCCCAGGGATGGTGTGGGGAGACCTGAACACAGGCTTTGCAGCCCATATCTGCAAGCTGCCACCCCCGGGTGTCTAATATATGCTGTGGAGAGGGTAAAACCAGTGTGAGCCTGCCCTGGGGGCTGGGGGAACAAGGGTGGCTTTGCTTCCCTGTCCTGGGTATGATCAGCGAGGAAGCTCAGGGGCTGGGTGGGCTCTAAATCTCCCCCAAGACTGGAGAGAAAGTTTGCACCATCTCTTCAAAAAGGGTTGGCCAATGTTCCTGTCCAGCCACAACCATCCCTAAGTCACCAGGCAATCCTGTCTCTGGCACGCCAGTGTAAGAGGCAATGGTTTACTTACAGTGTAAGTTTTAAAATTATATTTAATTACAGTGTAATGGTTTACTTTACAGTGTAAGAGGCAATGGTCGGCGGGTTTGCTATGGCTCTAACAATGCCACTCCCAAAAAATGCTCCCTGCCACAGCGGATTACCGCTCGTTAACATTAGTGACTCTGGGGCTCTACTCCAAGGAAAGATATGGCATTAGATACCTGAGCTTACTTAAATTGTGCTGACCACCCTAAAAGAGAATGTTGTGAGCAAAGAAAAATGTCAAATGAAATCAATTGTCTTCCGAAAATACGCAGACAAACTGGAAAAATAAAATGAATGCGCGCTTACCAAGCTCATTCAACAACAGGGCTGTGAAGGAGACAGACAGAGACAAACACAGAAGAAGAAAAGTAAATGAATAATGAAATCAAAAGGGATATCCACAGAAAGACTCCAGATCCCAGGGCAGAGATTTCAGATCTGTAAAGCTGCAGGATACCATTAGTGTTGAGAGAAAGTCACTAAAAATAAAGGAACAGAAACATTTCATGGGATTGTGGATTTAAAATGAAAACTATTGCAAACATGGGGTGGATATGGGATTTTGAAAAACACACTCCAAAAATTCATTTTTCCCCTTTGGATTGTATGTGCAAGATCTTCCACTGGCCTCAGAGGCAATTCTGCCCCAGGGGAGGACACAAGACGTCCCATGTGCAATGGCTACTGGCTTTGACCTCCTCCAGCTGCCTGGTGGGGAGCAATGGCTCCAGCGGGCAGCCGCGCTTCCAGCATATACCATGAGAGAAGAAAAATCTGTGGCAAGGCTTGGCTCAAGGATCTTGTCATTCAACATTTTAGGTCTCCAAACCAGAAGAAAAAGCCTCTCCCTTTAGTGCACCGGTGGGTCTCTGGCCCCTGAGGTGCGGACCCCACCATGGCTACATGGACCAGGGGTGACTTTGCAGAGATGCTCTCGTCTCCAGGATGCCAAGCATGCAGCTCGCCCTGCCTCGCTGCCTCTTGTACAAAACCAAGCACAAAACCCGAATTTAAACAAAAAAATCATTGCATGGCCAAAGCAGCAAATAGCATCCATTAAAATCTTGGCTGGCCTTCCAGCTAGTGAGTTTGCAAAGCTGTTTCCCTTAGGTTTCCTCAGCCATCTTTGTGACCAGGAAGATGAGGACTTTTCCTTTTCCTTTTCCTTTTCCTTTTCCTTTTCCTTTTCCTTTTCCTTTTCCTTTTCCTCTTTCCCTTTCCCTTCTTTTCCTTTTCCTTTTTTCCTTTTTTTTTCCTTTTTTTCCTTTTCCTTTTCCTTTCTTTTCCTTTTTTCCCTTTCCCTTTTCCTTTTCCATTAAAAATTTCCACTAGGATCTCCTGAGTTGGCACAGCAGTTCTCAAACCTGGGGCCAGGACAGCACGTTCGCTCTTGCTGGACTCACAAGGCTGGTCCCGTGCTGGTGCCTGTGAAGCTGGGCATAGCCAGAGACACAGAGCTGAGTTGTTCATGTGTCACTTTATCCTGGCTACACTCCATAGATGCCATCGGCACCATTTAATGATTCAAATCCCACCTGCAGAGCCTAGGCCATGCCAGCGTGTCTGATTTTTTAGCCCTGCTTCTGCTAGCCAGTCACATAAACCAGCAGGAGATCTGATGGCGTGGATGATGCAGCTGCCCTAGACAGCACCTGTGCTGGAGGGGAACGTGGCATCACTGCCGGACGTGTTTTCAGCCTGAGACACAGCAGCACGTCCCCACTCAGCGTGGGGACTGCTGGGGGCCCTCTCTGTCCTCAACCCGTGCCCACTGAAGGGAGAGCTTATGTCCCAGAAATTAGAAAGCAGCTCCAAGGCAGACAGACCAAATGTTGCTGCCAATTTTTTACAAAGGCTTTAATTAGGGTCTGTTGTAGGGCAACTAATTATCTTAAGTAACTCTAAAACTGCTTCTTGCTCAGCTGCCAATAGTGCGCAGAATTAGTTGCTGCCATTAATTTTCACTTAATTTCCTAGCAGAAAAAAAGTGCATGGAAAAATAAGTGAACTCTATCTTTTTGGGAAGGTTTGCAGTTGGTTTAGAAATGTGATGAAAGAGGAAATTGTTTTTATTATTCCTATGAGAAGCTATTATCCAGTGTAGAGCCATGAAACTTTATTTGAGTATAACCTGATTTCTCCTAGACTGATTGCATCTCACAGTATTACCTGCTTGGGCGGTGATTTTCAGCTATTTTCAGATCCTAGTGCCAGTATAAAAAGGCCAAAATTACTGCTCTGGCCATGCATTTTATTTCAAGTGACGGCTATTTTATCTTCCGGTAAAAATGATGCAGCATCACCTTTTTACTTCTCGAGACTGAATTTTCTACCCAATTAAATGAAGGTGTAGCTGCGACGTGGCAGGGCAGGGCTCTCAAAATGTCTCTGGGGGGTGGTTGGCTGCTCCGGGGCCCTCGTGAGCGAGAAGGAGTCCTCCCAAAATGAAAGAGGAAAGAAAACAGAGCAAAAAGGTGCAGGGGCCAAGCTTTGAAGGAAGGAGGGCAAAAACGACCGGGAGCCAAAGTGCGAGGAGAAAGGAGTGTGAGAGTAGGGAGACACAGAGAAAGCGGACGGCAGCGTCTCGAGAGCTGGTCTGGTTTTACTCTCACACCTTTCACTCCTCGTCGTAGCCACACCGGGTCCCCAAGCACAAGGAAGAAACTGCACTCTTTCTCATACTCCTCACGGTCAAGTACTCTAAGGGTAATGAATTTCCTGTGGGAACACAAGACAAAGGCAAACACATGATTGGCATCACACACGCATGCAGTTCATGTCCGCCCGGGTGCCGTGGTGCCGGAGAGATGGTCGGGTGGGGGGAGGCAGCTGCACATCCCCCCTGGGGCGTATGGGGAAGGGCAGGAGCTTCCGTGCCACCCGGCTGGGGTTGGACCTGGGTGGGCTGGGGAAAGGCCGAGTTCAGGGGGGGATTTGGAAGTGTCCTCGCTCCTGCCCTTCTCCACAGGCGTTGGGGATGTGAGCTCGGTGTTGCAGGTGCCAGGCATGAGTGAGCCAGACAGGGACACGCAGGCTGGGCTCAGCCCCGGAGCACGTCCCCCACCTTTCTTCTCACTCATCTCCACCAGCCGGGGCTCCCCGATCTCTAGGTAGAAGGTCTTGTTTTTCTCATACTCCTCATCATCTATCACCTTGATTGATATCGTTTTGCTGGAACAGAGAAGAAGAAATAGAGATTCAAGAGTAAGGGGGGAAAAGGGAGGAGGGGAGACAGGGAGAGGAGGAGGAGGAGCAGGAGGGTGGAAAGGGCAGGAGAAGGGGGCTGCAGACAGAAGACAGTGGGTTTGGTAGCACAGGCTGGAGGGGCAGCACAGCCGAAAAGCAAAGGGCAGGAGCTGATGGGCTGAGCTTGCCTGGAATGAGCAAGGACCCCAGGAGCTGGCAGGGTGCCTTCATCCCCGGCATGGCCAGAGGCCATGGCTGGACATGATGCAGCCTGGACCAGCCTCCCCCAGAGGTGCCTCAGCCCAGGGGCAGCAAGACAATTCCCTTTCCAAAATCCAGGGTGCAGAACAGCCCCTTGACAGCTTGCACACACCACATGTGTGGCTCCCGAGGGTATGAGCACTGGGAACCAGCACAGACCAAGCCCCTGAAAGCACGATGCCCTCCTTAAACCAGCCCCTGCACCTGGAAGAGGCTCTGTCTTGGCAGGCACAGCAGATCCATGCACAACACCATGATCAGCTGCTCCACTCAGGCTTTGGACACTCCAATTTGCAAGCTTGAAAAGGATGCTGGAGTTAGAACTTTTTCTGTGGAGGGAACATAAGGGAAAGACAATCTTTCTGGTTAGGGAAGGGTGAAGGAAAGCTTCACTGATGGTGAGATCTAACTTTTTTTATTTTCCTTTGCAAGCAGCCCTGAAGGTTTGGTTCTGTCCTGTTGGAGAGCCACGCAGCAAGTGTCTTCTCACATGGCCTGGGGCTGCTGAATGTGCCCCCGTGGCATCAGCGGGGGGGTCTGAAGGCAGAACCCCTGCTCAGAGCACAGCCACAAAGCTCTCACCATGAAGGGCAAAGGCCTCGCAGGAGGCTCTGGCCACCAGCAAAGACATTTGCTCCTTGGGGCACCCAACAGAGTGAAAATTGAGTGACAGAATTGCTTTGCCAAGGGAAAAAATTAGCATGGAAGAAGCGTTCCAGCCCTTTTCAGGGACTCACCCATGTAGCCTAGGAACACCCAGCCAAAAGCTACTTCGCAGGAGGTGACCAAACCTTGTGCATGGAGGGGGACTACGTGGCCTTTCCTACAGCACAAAGCCCTCACAAAGCCAAGACGTGGAGCAGAAAACCCACAGCTCTTGCTCCTGCCTGGAGCGCCCTGCTCACTGTCCCGCACACATGGCATTGCTGCTGGGACAGGACCTCGTGTCCCAGACAAGAACTAAGAAGGCAATAACAACAAGAAATAAGAAGGCAATAACAACAAGAACTAAGAAGGCAGTGCAGCTATTGTCTGCAGCCCTCTGCTAGATGCTGACCTCCTGGCTGGGTTTGCTTTTCCCCGCGCTTGACGGCGCTGCCCTACTCTGACTTCTCTTGCTCAAACAAGCTTCCCCATCGCTCCCCCCACCCAAGCCTGTCTGTCCCACCCTTCGAAGGAAGGTCTCTTGTCCCATCCCCACCCCCTCTGCGCTTTCCATGGGCAGCCGGCAGAGGTGGGAGCAGCCCCGAGGCTGCTCTAATATATGATCAAGGAGGATCTGCTGTTCCTGGCAGGTCCCAGCACTGAAAACCCATCAACATGGAAGAAAGCCACGCTCTAGGGGAGTGAAATTCAGGCCACGCTGCTGCAATTCCTGGCTTTCTCCCCTCCTTGCACGGCTGTGCTGCCACCCAGAGCCCCTCTCTGAAGCTGACAAGTATTTGGCATTTTATTCTCATTCAGAGCAAACACTGCCAAGCACTTGGAGGAACAGCCATGATGATTTCTTGTGCTGTTTGCTATGAGTCAGAAGTGTATTAAGTTTGCCCTTCATGCTTTTAATGAAACCATTTACTCAAAAGCAAGTGATGGCTGTGGAAAGTGCAACAATGCAACACGGCTCAGTGTAATTGTATTTTACAATGAATATCTGTAATAATTTGTTCTGTTTATAGTTATTGCTGCAATAGGTTTGTACATAGGAAAAATGGTTATCGAGCAGGCAGTTGATCTTGCTTTGCACTGATGAGCTAAGGGAAATTATCGTGTATTAAAAAAACTAATAAAGGATGCAAAAAATGCTCTCAGCCAAGCTATCAAAGAGGACCTGACAGAATTAATAGAATGGCACAATTTCAAAAACATTGCTAACAAAATCAATAATTTTCCTGACAACTCCCATTAAAATGTACACTGCACCCTGCCCCCATGTATGAAAAACCCCACCCCTTTCTCAGGAAAGTTAATTAAAAAAAGCTGCTTTCATCAATTCTGAGGTCAGCAGAGGTATCAAGACACAAACTTCCTGTGGGAGTGCTCTGGCTTCCCACGTGTGGCATTCCTCAAAGCTCCACAAAATTATTCTCTCTCACAAAAAAAACCCACCTGGGTGCTAATTAAAAAAGCCGTTCCTGATGCTTAGATGCAACACCAGTAGGATTTCCTTGAATAATGCACCCTTGGGGCTTCAAGTGCCACTGCCAGCAGGTGCTGCTCTGACACAGTTCTCTAAGGGCTCTGTCTGGGGTGCGAGCGAGTGCTCTGTGTTGGGCAGACATGGGCACTGCTGCCGTTCCTGCCGTACCAGGTTGTTGGGAAAAAGGGTGGGAGGAACAAAGGGCAAGGCTGCTCTGGATGAATCTCCAATCAGCAAGAACCGCTGAGGCAAATTGGTCTCCGAGATGAGACTGCAATCCCGTGGAAAAGGATTTCCTCCTAATGGTGGTGTTTGAGATCACATCTGTTTGAGAAACAGCAAGTATGTGATAATAATGCAGGCTATTCTTAGAGCGTGCCTGATCTCCATTGCCTTGCCTTTTGCCTGCTGCAAAGCCCCTCCCAGGGCCCCACACGCGTGTGGCCACGCGGCAGGGTTTCATCAGTGGAGGAGGGGGATCAGGCAACGGCACAATTTATCCTGTGTTAGAACTTTAGACTGAACATTAGGAAGGAATTTTTCACAGAAAGAGTGGTCAGACACTGGAATAGGCTGCCCAGGGAGGTGGTGGAGTCACCATCCCTGGATGTGTTTAAGGGACGTTTAGATGCGGTGCTGAGGGATATGGTGTAGGGGAGGACTTTGTACAGTAGGGTAGATGGTTGGACTCGATGATCCCAAGGGTCTCTTCCAACCTGAATGATTCTATGACTTGAAAGAAAAAGGGCTGCTTTCTACAATAATCTGGGACGTGCACTGATGGCACTCTGCTCTCGCTGGACCCTCTGACATGGTCTCTGCTTCTTGGTCCCCTCCCAGGCTGAGATTTGAGGGATGGCATAGGCTGCAACGATGTGAAGAGCATCACACCAGTGTGGGGCTGCCTGTGCATTCCCGGTGGCCTTGCCCAGTCCTGTGCTCCTGTTGCCTGCAGTCTCCCTCCTCAGAGCCACACGCCGGTGTGCGAGGCTGATTTCTCTCACACTGCCATCCCCGTGCAAATGATGCAGGACAGGAGTGCCTGGCAGGGCCAGCACAGCCTGCCAAGCCTGAGGGAGCCATGTGGGCTGAGGGCAGCAGCAGCTGAGATGCCTGCCCCTTGGTTTCCCGTGCTGGGCACAGCGGGGTGAGGTATGGTGAGACCCCATGTCCCCACCGTGCAAGTACCTACGTGCCCAAATTTGCATTTAAACTCTCTCTCTCCTGTGGGACAGGGGCTCATTCAGCACAAGATGTGACGGTACTTGTGTAAACGGAAAACAAAAGGGGCACCCCGAAACCCCCACTGCTGGGCCACTGCAGGGCCAGAAAACCAGCAGTCCCAAATCCATGAGGCAGAGGGGAAAAATAGAAGATTAAAATAAAACACTAAAGCAGCCTCTAAAACACTTTCTTCACCTCATGCGAATCTGGGGTCAATCTAGACCATGTTTCCAAGCTGTCCCTCAAACCCTCACAGAGGTCTAGAATGAGTTCTGATTTGGGGACAAAAGTGGTGTTTCTGCCACAATCTAATGCCTCCGGGAGCTGCAGGTGGGTATTTAAGCCAAACACTCAAGATCAGATGTGTGTGCAACACCAGAGCCCTTGAAAAAGCTGGATTTTTTTTCCTGCCTCGTCCCTTGCTCACGCTGCAGGTGGGAAAGAGCAATTTCTGGAGCATCTCCCCGACTGATCTGGGTGCATGGGGCTCGACGTCCCTCTCCAGGCTGTGTGTTGGCCTAAACCACCAGGCTTGGCTGACCTCCTGCCTTCCTCCCTGACTGCTGTGGGGAGCCCCAGTGACACCGCGGGGCAAGTTTGCAGCAAACCAGTGCTGCTGCTGGGGTTTGCCTTCCACTGGGGATGAGTCCATTCTGCCCAAGCTAAAGAGCCCTGCTCTGGCATGAAGGCTGAGGGCACCCATGGTGCATCCAACCTTCAGCATTTCTGAATGAGAAATTGCTCTTCCCCGAGTCTGTAGCCAAGGCAATTGCTTAGGGAATGAGTTTCATCTCATTTCCATGTACCGGAAATCAAAGAATGAAACAAATCTTGCAGAATTGCAGCTCCAGCTCTTCTTCTCTTGCTGACACCCAGCAGCCGCCAGAGAAGGATGGTATCTCCATGAACACGGCATACAAATCTCTGGCCTCGCTCCAAGCACAGTGCTCTCCATCAGGACTTAGCTTGCGTTTCAAACCATGCTATTTCATTCAAAAGGTCTTTTAACAGAGCATTCCCACGCAACCCTTAGTTACAATAGCCCACAGAAAAGTCCTCTTGCCTGGTGATGCCCTCAGGATGGCTCACCAAGGGAGGAACTGCTATGTCCGATCACGCCCAATGGCCACCCAGCACCGCCTCTTCTTCTGACAACTGCCAAGAGCACCTTGGAGCAGGAGGATATAAAAGCAGGATGGGCATATGACAGTTATTTCTAGCTGATGCCCAGCCCCCAGATAGCTGTGTCTCAGGGATTTCCTAGCCAGACTAGGTTTCTATGTATTTAGCTACGCTCTGCAGATTTCTCTTATTTCCCTTTAAGCCTGGGTAAGCTTTTGGCATTTGCAGTCTCCCATGTGCC